ATATCACGTTAGCTTCGAAACGGGTGACTTTCGTTCTAGTTACACAGCGAAAATTTGTTTGGCGTTGCGCGGTGGGGTATGTGTCGTTGACTTCACCCAATTTGAGTCAAAACTACGAATGATTCCGCTTTCGAAAATCAACTTGGCTATTCATTCGCGCTTGATTTACTTTTGAACTACGTTTATTGGACGAAAACAATTGTCCCATTATAGAAGATTGAGAAGGAAGATTATTCATGCGAAAAACAAAAAAGTAATGATATTAAGAGTAACGAGTGGAGTTGGTCAGGGATTGAAGGATGGTTCTAGTATGAGCGGGTTGGTGTTGATTAGTTCAGTTCTTGTTCCACCCATTCGCGGGACAATTGGCGGGTAGCAGATCTCTTCAAGACATTCTTTGAGCCTTCAGGAACTGTCAAAAATGTTGATGAAGACGACCGGATGGGCTCAATAGTTGCTGAATGATTAGATTCCATTGTTAATGGGGATGGAGTCAAGCTTGCAATCGAGCCACTTGAAGGAGACGAGAGGGGATACATAGGAGACGTGGCAGCTGGAGATGGACCTGCAGACAAATGCGGTGGAATTACGAGCGTGGTAGAAGAAGGTTGCGCGGCTGAAATGACGATAGTTGTGTTGATTGAGGGCACTTGCAGGCATCGTCGCTTTGAAGGAGCCACATGTGGGATTTGCAAAGTTGGTGGCGGTGTTGTATTCTCGATGCTTGGTTCGAATCGGAGCATGTGATTTTGGTGCATCAAAGCGTCGGAGTCAGCAGACTCAGCAGAAGTTCCAACTGATGTTCCAACCGAGATACTTGGTAGTGGAAGAGCCATAAACAACTCTTTTGCAGTTATGTGCACTTTGTAGTCCAAAAGAGACAATAGCTGACGTTCCATCAAGTTGATTTCTTGGATTGAAAACATATTACCAGCGAGAGGCACCCAGGACTTGTTCTTGATTGGGGCATCGGTGTTGTACTTGACGGCAATGATCAAGCTCGCGAGGAAGATGCGATGGCGGGAGCAAGGGAGGCCTGTGCGTTCAACCAATCAATTACGGCTTAGGTGATCAACCACATTCACGGACATCGAACGCACCTTTCGCCGGCTGTCTAATCTTAGCCGCCAGTCTCCTCACGAGCACCAGAGCACAGAGCAGTGTGTTCTGAGGCACCTTTGCCCGGGCCGCGAGCACAGCAACGAACTGGGGAAGCGGCGGCAGTACTGCCCCGCGAACTAACGTTTGCCCGGCCGACGCCTCCACAAGCAAATTTGATGCGGCTTCAATTTGGGCGGCGGCCGCGACGACAAGAGACGCGCGGGTCATCAAACGTTTCGAAGTACAAAAAAGTGCGGTGATTTCTGGAGCCCTGAATTGATCCAAAATGAGCCAAGCATTGACGGGAGTGTCCGCACTCTCACTGCTCTGATGAAAGTAATGTGTAAAATATCTTTATTGTTCATGATCACAGCAGTCTCAAATGCTCGAATTTTAGTGACAGCTTGGCTGCACTCCAAGTTATCAGTATCCCACCCAACCCAGGAGGTTGACTTGACAAGGATGGCCCATGAGGTGTCGACAGATAATCTGATCGATTAAGCCTCAAGATCACAGTAAACTTAGAATCTGCCCACAATCGTTCCAATAGCTATGTGAGTACAACCTTAGCTCAGCACGTGTAGTTTGAATCTCCATCACCGCCACTCTCCGACAGAATCAAAGCACAGAACTACAAAAATGCGGAATCTAGTAAGTAGTAAGTGCCCTGCTTTAGAAACTCGGCTCCGGCAGGTTGTCCTCAGCCTTATAAGTTGAAGAACACTCATATTTCAACAAAAGGGAATGATTTGAAGGATATTGGTCAAACTCTGTCATCATTTCCGTTATGTGTATAGGCTTTCGTAACACTTGAGAAAAATTCTACTATTTCCATTCCGCTCATATAATGTCAGTATTATTATTATTCGAATTTTCACTTGCGAGTCAAATTCAAAAACTCCTCGCGTGTTCGTTGGCTCTCCCTAAACACACCCAACATACATGACGTGACGGTGGAAGATCCAGGCTTTTCAACACCACGCATCACCATGCACATGTGTTCACACTCAATAGTTACAGCAACACCCTGTGGCTGCAGAACTTCGTGGATGGCTGTTGCAATTTGCTTCGTTAAACGTTCTTGGACTTGGAGTCTTCGAGCAAACATTTCAGCAATACGGGCGAGCTTGGAGAGGCCGAGGACGCGGCCGTTTGGAATGTATCCGATGGAAACCTTTTTGGTGGGAGAATGGAGTTAGTGAGTGTAGAGAATTGAAGATCGTCGTACTACCTTGCCAGCGAAAGGAACCAAGTGATGCTCACAGAGAGAAAAAATGTCAATGTTCTTGACAATAACCATCTCATCCGTGTCCTCCTCAAACACAGCACCGTTCAACAAATCTTTCAGAGACTGCTCATAACCCTGCAATCACACAGTATCAGAAACGCAGTTAATTAAACAACCTCGAACAATCAAAAAGACCTGCACCTTTGTAAAGAACATCAAAGCCTTCGCGTAGCGCATTGGAGTCTTGAGAACTCCCTCGCGGTCAGGATCTTCACCCAAACACTCAATGATAGTTCCGACAGCATCGGCAATCTTCTTCATGCGCTCTTCCTTCTGTTCCTCTGTTTCCTGTCGTCGCTGCACAGTTCCCTTAGACGGGTACGAGAGGCCCATGTTGTCGATTGCGACAGGAAAGGTCTTTCCGGTAGTTGAGTTTGAGCCGAGCATTGGAGAGTTGATTGAATCGTTTGCAGAAGTTGTGACGGCCGGGACGAGCGATGACATTCGAAAGATGGTTTTGGGGGAAGAGTTCCGGTTTTTGACGTTTTCTGGTTGGGGAAGGGCTTCGATCTCTCACTGGTTCCATCGACTCATTTCGAATCTTGGTCATCTGATTACACCGATCTGTATTAATAATGGCTTCTGGGCGGCCAACGCATTTCTTGTCGCTGCGATTGGACTCAGCTGCCTTTCGTCCCTTTCACAACCACGTCAATAATAACCATCCTGCACTCGCACATCACCTTGTACCGCAAAACTCGCATCATATTACGGTTCTGCTATTGACATTGACACCTGGAAACCTTGCATCAGCCTTGAACTGCCTAGAGGCATGTGCTCAATCTGTCATTCCAAACCATTTTCCTGCCCCAACAACCTTAGACCTCAGCATTAAAGGAATAGGAACGTTTGGAAACGGGAAAGTCGTGTGGGCGAAAGTGATTGAAGACAGTGACAAGAAACTCACGCGGTTTGCTGAGGATGTACAAGCACTGTTTGCTGATAATGGTCTGTTGCAAGGGAGATACGACTTTCGACCACATGCCACGTTAATGAAGATTGGTGGATCGAGGTCTGCAAGTGCCTCTGGAAATTCTAGGGGACGAGGAAGAGGTGGAATGGGAGGACGAGGGAATCAAATCGCGTACTCTTCCAGTGATGTGGACAAGATTGATGCACAAGTCTATCTCCCTTTCAGCCAATTTGATTTCGGTGTGCATACAGTTGGGAAACTCGAATTGTCTGCAATGGGGAAAATGGCAGAGGATGGATATTACACCTGTATCAAAAGCGTAGATATCCCGAGTGATCTTAATAAACGAAATGAGCTTTGATCTATTTTGTAGAAATGAGTTGGACTTTCTGTGGGTTGGTGACCTCAAAATGATTCCTCGTCACTGAGCACAGTCCCAAAATATATGACGGCACATACAAACATTCGATTCTTTATTGTTTCGTCGTTTAGAAGCCTATTATCTGAATCAAGTCTGCTTGTGATATTCCTGCGAAGCCAAATACTCTTCCCAACTGAAGGAAACAATAAGCGCCAGAACTACACTGAAAGTCTCAAAAGCTCACCTTATCATACCGTCGTTGTCAGTGTCATCCATATCCAGCACAGTGTCCACTAATTTAATCAAGTCTGCGAGTTTTCCTGGCGGAACGCTTCCTGGGACCGGTCGACCATCAGAGCCAACTTTGATATCTTGGCCGGCATAGAGAGCCACTAGGATTCGTGATATTAGTTTTCGTCTAGAGTATTCGATATTGATGATCCGGTTGCCGTCCAAATCCCCCTTCGCCTCAACAATTCAGACAGACATAGCGTTGAATATACAACCAATTAATACGATTTCGATGTGAGATTCACACTCATGAATCCGGGTTCGTTAGGATCTAGAAACTCCATCCAATCACATCTGTTCAAACACTCCAGGCGGCTTGCAACAAGTGCTCAACGAGAACATAAAGAAGTTCAGATACTCACACAGCTCATGTCCATCCAAATGTCCATCTTTGTTATGGTCGTGCAGCTGTATAGTTTAGGGCGAGTGAAATGCCACGTATGGTTAGACCTCAGGTCCCAACATACACATGGGATGTCCCTATAATGCAAATAGTTACCGTGAAGAACAAAACAGAGTCCTCGACCTCCTTAATGTGACTTTGTTGAGCTGCTGTCGCGTCCCCAAGGTTCTGCATCTCCTGCACCACATCCTTCTTATAAGCTTGAGCTTCTTTGTGCACATCGCCGTAGTTGGATTGGTCTGCGAATGCGACGAGGGCGAGGATAAGTGTGAGGAGGAGAGGTATGAAGGACCGAGTCATTTGTTTGGATAAAATCTGTAGACTCATAATAGTAAATGAGGCGAGACATTCCAAAGTAAGGTATACGACGAATATGTACAGTCCAGTCTTCTTTCCAGAGGCACTAAGTTTTATCCATGGGGATCAGTCAAACTTCAAGCTCAAGTAAAATTCACAACTCAGTCAAGTGCCAGCCTGCTTTTCATTCGTTAAGAGAAAGCCCACAGAGACAGTTAAATGTTACTCAAATACAGTAGAGAGCCCGGAGTAAGACAGCTCGGGTTCTTTCTTGAATTCCACTTTTGCATCCCCAAACCAACTCTAACTTGGCTAACCACTTCTCAACAAAAACCACAAGAAAGGCAGGTCGTACCCGGACTCGAACCGGGGTTACAGGTATCAGAAACCTGGGTGCTAAACCACTACACTATACAACCCTGGCTGCTTAGAAAGGTACATTAAGTATCCTCTATGTCTCTACATCGGAATTGGGAGATTTGTTTTCTTACCTTTGAAGATACCGTTGACTTTAATGCACGAGACGGAGAAGGAAGGACATGTTGAAGAAGTAGCGGAGAGGAAGCAGGAAGATGATTCCTTTTTGTCCGAACATTCCCAAAGAAAGCACCTTTGAATGCCACTCAGCATCGACTTTTCTGAGCTGTACCGGGCCACATCGCCGCACGTGAGCGTCTCAGTTGATGGAAAGCTTCTTGCGACAGCCGTTGAGCATCGACTTGTTGTGCGGGATGCGGAGACACTTCAGATTGCAGGTTTGTGATTGGTTGATTGGTTGGTTGGTTTGACTGACTCGTCGTTGGCAATCCTCGAATCAACAGCGCTCTTTTCTTGCAGCGCCAATGTCGATGTTGTTGCGTGGGCGGCGGATTCGCAGTTGGTCGCCGTGGCGTCAAAAGCAAAGAAGTGCGCTCAGGTTCGTCGGTCAAGTGCTCGCTCGTCGACGAACCCTGTTTTAATCGGATTCGTTTAATTTGGATTCAGATTTGGAGTATTGTCGATCCGGACTGGAAGTGCTGTATTGACGAGGGTGTTTCGGGTCTCTCAAACATCCTGTGGTCTCCTGACGCGCGCCACCTCCTCGTCTTCTCAGACTTTCAACTCAGAATCACGGTTTGGTCGCTCGTATCGAAGGAGGCGGTGTACATACAATATCCAAAGTATTCAAACAAAGGATACTGCTTTCGGAATGACGGCCGCTACTTTGCTCTCTCAGAGCGTAAAGACTGCAAGGATACTCTTTCAATATATGATGCCCATGACTGGACGCTTCTCAAGGTACAATTCTGACTGAGAAGCCTGGATTCATCAGATACAATGGATTCAAATGGAAGCAAAGCGGCACGGAAAGATAAAGCAAATAGATGCCAACGAGAGATTTTTGTCGCGTGTATTATGATTGTGCTTCTGGACCTGGACTTGGGATGCTGGTCTTGTGATTGTTTTGACATATTTCTGATCATATAATTTTGCCATAGCACTTTCCCGTTGAAACCACAGACCTAGAAGATATTGCGTGGTCTCCTGATGGTCGATTTATTGCAGTGTGGGACACAATCCTAGAGGTGAGTTCTCATGGTTTCTGTAAAGGAGTTGTTTACCCATCAACTTTAGTACAAAGTATTGATCTACTCACCTGATGGTCGTTTGATTTCATCATTCTCTGCATATGAAAATGGTCTTGGAATCAAGGGTGTCTCATGGTCTCCATCTGCTCAATTCTTGGCTGTTGGCAGTTTTGACGAGAAGGTATAATTATCATTGGGTCTTGTTCCATTGCATGGACTGATTTTCTTGATTCAAGCTACGTCTCATCAACAATATGACATGGAAACCATTGATTGACTTGTCTCATCCAACTCACCTGCCATTTCCTGACATTGTATGCACACCCATTAATGGCAGTCTTTAATACATTCTATCTTTAGGAAGTATACAAAGAAGCCACGTGGAAAGATCCAAAGGACACTTCACGATTGAAGACGTGGAGTCTAACAACAGATGTCCGACCTCGCATTCACTGTATGTACACTATTTTGGAGATATAGGTTCTGATACTTAACCTGCCCTAGATGAGCTTGTAAAACCACCTGTCCATGTTTCAACAGTCAAAGTTGAGATTGACAAACTGTCTCCCAAGAAAGGAGTGAGTGTCTGTGAGTTCAGCTGTGATGGACGTTATCTGTGCACCAAGAATGGTATTTGATGCTTGATCCATGTAACACAAAACTGAGAACTCTCTTTCCATTCAGATAACATGCCAAATGCACTGTGGATCTGGGACCTTCTGACACTCTCTCAAGCTGCACTCCTTCTCCAGTTGTCACCCATCAAGCAGGTTGCTTGGAATCCTATGATTCCAGATCTCTGTGCTGTCTCCTGTGCTAACAGCTACATTTACCTATGGAGTAGGGAGAATGGATGCAATGCAGTGGAGGTCCCAGCGATTAATTTCCAGGTTGGATTGATGAAGTGGGGACCTGATGGGAAGAGTCTTGTTTTGATGGATAGAGATAAGTTTTGCGTTGCTTTTTTGGTTCAAGAATAGTGTCTTGTTGTTTACATTAAAGATATTTATTCATTCATTACTTCCCATGGATTCTGACAATTAAATATTGATTTCATCCAGTGACATCAAAGGAGAAGTTGTTGGCTTCAAAGTTGGTGCTGATGGATGTTTTGAGGATGTTACTTTAATGACTGCAACAGTCTCCTCATCAAGTGATTCTTTTGAAGATTTAGCTGAAGCTGGAATCTTTGAATCTGATTTATGAAAAATCTCAGATTTATTACTTTCTGAGTTTCTTGAATCACTCATAGCTGCTTCTGAATCTCTGGGGCTAGCTTGACTTTCAATAGTTGAAGGTTGGGGACTTCTAATGTCTTTCTGTTCTCCTGTCAGTTGATTGGGTCTGGATGGCTTTTGGGAGTCAATAGACTGCCTTGGGCTCAGTTTCTTAAACCTGTTAGATAATGAATTTGCAATGCCTGAGAGTGCTGCTGCAATTGAAGCTCTTGAGCCCAGCCCCTGGAGTGTAATTGTTATATTGGATTTTTTGGTCCCTGATGTTTCAATATCCAAGGAAGTATCAGAGTTAGTTCGGGAGTTGCTTCCCTCAGTGGTTGCACAAGATTCCCTTGTGGCATCTGTAGACTGAGAAGACCTTGGAGAATACTCTGAGACTGTTGTTGGGTTTGAAGTTTCTGATGACCTTGCGTCCGACTTTGAATCACATACACTCTCAGTTGCAGATGATCTTGGACTCTGGTCCTCAGCCTCTTCAAAGTCTCCTAAAACAGCTTGAGTTGAATACCGTGAAGATTTGCTCTCCCGTGCTTCTTCATTGTAAGGACGGAGTTCATCATACTTCCGAACTGAATGCAAAAACAGAGCAAAGATATAAGCTGCACAACCTAGAATTATTAAAGATGACCCTGCCATATCAATTTGAGATCCGATTCCTCCATAGGCATTCAAGAATCCCACATCATTTGCAAAGGAAACTCCAGATAAGACAATACTTAATGCACATGAGGCAACATTCACAGTGCGCAACATACTGTGTATGACAAACCCAGGACGTCGCTTTTCAATAATCAGTGAGACCATAGTTATTCCTCCAGAAATTGATGCTTGGACATAGGCTGGAATTCCGCCACCCTTGCGAATTCCAATTGCAACAATGGTCAGCAACCAACCAATCATAATCATTCCAATGAGCACAATATGCATTATTGTTAGCAGTTCATCTTTGGATACAGGTGGATATGGTTTGTGAAGAATTATGACTACAGCTGTCATCAGAAAAGTAAGTGTCAAAACTGAAGAGGCAATAGCAGTGTTGACTACTGAAAGTGTCATGTTTGAAAATGCCAGAGAGTAAATCACAGCTCCAGAGCTTGCAAAGGCAAGACTGAATTATCTGAAATCAGCAGGAACATTAACTTTTGTTAAACGCTTACATTGAAGATATTGATCCAAGCATCCCAGCTGATGTCCAATGAAAATAGCAATGAAACACTAGACCAAGAATAGCCTGCAAAGAGGATACAATGAATGTGTAATGTATGGCTAATGGTGGAATCACTGATGTAGGATCCATGAGACCAATTGAAACAATATAACAAATGAGTGTGACAAAAGAAGCACTCAGACTTAATTTCAGCAACAAGTTCAAAGTTTGATAGCTTGTTGGTATATATATCCAAGAGAGTCCTTCATCTGAAAGCTTGGGATTCTCAAGTAACTTCTCCTTTTCTTCTGAGAAAAGCTCAATTTTAGAAAACACAATGCTGCGGTGTAACAAAAATGCAATTTGGGTAATCAGTATAACCAGTAGACCAAACATCATCCCTATTCTTGAGGAATTAAGTGTGCTGCTGACTGATTCAAGAAATCCAAGCCCTGTTTGATGAATTCCAGACCCAGTAGTCATAATCACCACACAAATCATAGAAAACAATGCTATACGTAAAGGACGTACAGTAGCTATAGAAGAAAACCAAAACATGAAAGCTATAGCTGGACAGATAGCAATAGTAATTAATGAAGCAACAAAGTCTGGAATGGACCTGATTCCACTATCTTTGACTCCAACACCAAAAGTCACAACAAACAAAAACCAGCCAATCAAACTGAAGCTTTGATATACGGCAGGAATGGTCCAACCATCACCTGACTTTTTTGTCTTTTCATAGACACCAAAACAAAGCAGCAGGACTGTTGCAATTGTTCCCAGAATGCTGTATCCAAATGCTCCTGCAAATATGCCAGCTTCAAAGCTAACTGCTCCATATGTAAGACCCCAAAATATGACCTGGCCTGCCATTGCTAATGAAAACAGTGTAATAAAAAGGCAACTTCCAAAAACAACAAGTGAGCCAGTGCACATCCAAGTTGCAAGTAGAATTGTAGACAGCATTCCCGTTAATAGCAGAAGTATAGATCCAACATCTATGTTCTTATTAACTACGTCTGATAGGTTTAAATAGCTTACATTGTGGGGACCAATCTTTGTCAACCCTCCTAGATCCAATTGACACACCCACAATACTGACAAATGTTGACATTCCAAATAGTATACACTTAGAAGCAGTTTGTAGAGCAGGCCAGGAGAGCAATAAGCCGTAGATATCTAGTGGGGCGACTTTTGGTGCAGGAGACTCTTTTCTTCGTCTCCTGCTCCTTTTCCTCCTACTTCTTCTGGATTGGTCACTATCATATGAGTCACTGCTGTGGGATGAGTCTTCAGATTCAGAAACATCAGAGGCTGGTTCAGCACCAAGTTCTGGGTCTCTCCAAAGTGTAGAGCTAATCAGCATGGAGACAGACTTCACTTCCATGGCAAAGAAGTACATTATACTTCCAGTAACTATGAGAGATGGTCCTGCAACAGTCCCTGCACATTTTCCAGTGCTT